TGGCTTTGACAAACAAAAACCTATGGTTTCACAGTTTAGGAACTAGAGGTCCTAGTTCAGCACGCCAGCTCTAGGGGGAGACTTTCTCCAAGTGTCTCCCGGTTTCAGGAGTTTTCTAGCTTGGGAATCTGGGTCCAAAGAATGTACTCCACTCCTGATTCTTTTGGTTTGGTGGTCTTGAGGTCCCCCTTCCACCACTCACCTGTCAGTTTGATCTCTTTTAAAGCACTAAAGAGCAAGGATGTCAGTGTAAAGACTAAGGTGTGTTTGATCCAAGCCATGTCATTTTCCAGTGCTTTCTATGTACCTGAAAGTTAAACAATGAATAAGGAAGACCAAAGAATTGGACCCTTTGAGTTATGGTATTGGTTAGAAGTTTCAAACACACCATGAACAAGGAGAACAAGCAAATTTGTCTTGCAGGAAGTACAACCAGATCTCACATACTTAGGGCATGTTGTCAAGAGGAGAGTAAGTCCTTGAAAAGTATGCTGGGTAAGTAAAGAAGATGAGCAACAGAGAGAAAGACCCTCAATGAGATGGACTGTCACCATGACTACAACAGTGAGCCTGAGCATGGTGGAGAGTGTGAGAACGACGGAGGACAAGGCAAGGCTGCACTGTTGTCCACAGGGCTGCTGAGGCCTAGTAACTAGGTGGCAACTCCCAGTAAAAATGATGTCTCCCTCTTCTGCATGCTTTCTTCCTCCTTCATCCCACATCCAAGAAGAACTCCCCACCCAACTATCAGATCTTTGAGGGGATCAAGTTTACCCTTAATACTCCTGCAACTATTTTATCAGAGCATGGGAATCACTGCATAACTTCTTCATTACATCACTACATGTACATACTTCAGGAGGACACAATTCAACCCAAGACATTATCATCCTGGAGTACAGTAGGCCCTAAACGCCTTGACTGGTCTTATCTTTACATCAGAGGAGAACAGATACACTGTCATAGACTGAGTTACCTTTCCTCAAAGTTATTTGTCCTCAATTTGTGAATCTTAACCACTGGAGATGAGGGAAAGTTTGGTGGCCTATTGGGTAAGGAGTTGTGCTGCCATCTCAAAGGCAGGCAGTTCTAATCCACTAGCTACTCCACAGAAGAAAGATGGGCAATGAGGGACTGTAAAACAATAAAAGAACTTTTACTTTTCAAAGAGAAGAACAAACTGGGGGGAGGGGTGGGCAGGGAGAAAAGTGCAACAATGAATGAATGGAAATCCAAAATCTCTGTAAATGTTAATTGAAATTAATAATAATAAGTATTTTTCTAAAAAGATGGGCAATATTCTCTTGTTCAATTGACAGCCTCTGCAAATCTGCTGGAGGGTCAGCTATGAGTTGGCTCTGTCTTGATGCTGATGAGTTTGGGTTTTGAGTTTTTGATGATGTTAATAAGCAAGATTGGAAGAGTTATGTTAATAAGGTAAGGTGCAATCTACAGGATTAGGCTGTATTTTGAGACACTCTCTTTTGTGATATAAAAGAGGTTAAACAAGCTGAGAAAAGGACTTCCTACCACCAAGAAAGAAGAACACATCCCTGCATGTAACTCTTTGCCTGAGGAAAATGGAAGTCAAACACATGGAGATCTCCAGAGAAAAGCATGCCCACAGAGGCTGAGAGGAGACAAGGACCCAATGGAGGTGGGAGAAATCCTTAGAACTGACAATGAAGCTCACTAGGAAAAAACAGGTCAAGGAACAATAAGGAACAGGCCAAGGAAGCTCAAGGAACAACAGGCCCACAGCTGCTGAATGGAACATGGGTCATCCTCCAGACAGAGGAAAAGCCTGTCCTTACAGCTGAGCTGGCACCCTGCATTTAGATTCTAGCCTCTTGAACTGTGAGAATGAGACCTCAAATAAAGCATATCACATGCATATTTTTAGTTTTCCAATTTTCATGGATTCAACTATGATCCCCCTAAAAACACATATGCACTAATATAACATGGAAGTTCGTAAGGATGAGTTGACAAAGCTGTAAAAATGTTGTTGTTGGGTGTCAATGAGTCAGAAGTGACGAAACACTGACCATCTAATGGTCTTCAGAAGCAGTAAACTGCATGGGAGGAAAGTGCCCATAATTCTCCTTCAGAGCAACTAGTGGATTCAAACTGAATGCCTTTGGGTTAGCAGGGCAACTTTTTACCACTAGGCCACTGAAAAAGAATTAGAGGTAGGATCTGTAAGGTAAAAAAGGCGCAGAAAACTAAGTGAAGGGAAACAAAAGAGTTTATTAATACTTCTCGGGCAGATTTACTGTCTGAGGCTAGAGAAAGGCAGGGTCAGGTGGCAAAGTTGCAAGTGAGGAAATTACAGGCTAAACTTTATAGGTAGGGGTTGGGGGTAGGGCAGTCAGCCGGGTGTGGGCAGTTCTCCGTGGAGGGTGTTGAACAGATGCCCTTTGTTAGTTCCTAACTAAGGAGCTGCTCAGTCATGCAAAATGTGGTTGTTGGTCGTGCTCCTTTCTGTTGGCTATAGTTGTCTTACACCAGGCAGACTGGAATGTGTCTCAGAAGGTACAGTCAGTGTGGAATGTTGCCCAGCTCCCAGGTGGCCTTTCAGGATCTATACCTTTAATCCCATCAGAGCCCTGAGGAGGGGCTTAACCTTTATCCCCTTTTGTGTTACAGGGCAGTAATAAGAGAGAAGAAGCAGAAAGGAAGATCTCAATGACACCAAGAAAGAATTGCCAGGAGTGGAAAGCAACCTCCAGCATCTGGTTCCTGTGCTAGGAGGCTTCCAGGCACCAGGGAAGGTCCAGACTCATGGAGGGCTGAAAGGAGCCTCCAGATGCTGCAGGACCTTCCTCCAGAACTAGCAGGCAGGAAGGTTTCCCCTACAATTGGCAATCTGAATCTGGACTTCTACCCTTCCTGAGAGTGGAAGCCAGACAACCTGGGCCTAGGCCTGGGCCCCGATGAAGGATTTTGCACTATCAACAATTTATTCATAGTAAACACCTTTCTTAAAAAACACAAATGGCAACTAGACACATGGACCTCACTGATGGACTACATGGAATCAGACTGACTACATCTATGGAAAGAATGGATGGAAAAGTTTAATATCAACAGTCAAAACGAGGCCAGGTATTAAATGAGGCATGCTCAGGCCCACTGCTGCAATCACTATGTCAGTCTATCTCACTGAAGGTCTTCCTCTCTGTCACAGACTTGATCATTTCCAGCACGATGCTTTTTTTTCCAAGGACCCTTGTGACAACATGCCTCAAGTATGTGAGCTGAGGTTGCACTATCCTTACCTCTAAGGAGCAATCTGGTCACAGTTTCTATAAGATACATTTGATCTTTTGCCATTCTGTAAGATACTGAATATTTTTCATCAACACCACAATTAAACACAAAGGCATCAATTCTTCTTTGGTCTTATTTATTTATTGTCCAACTTTCAAATGCACATAAAGCAACAGAAAATACCATGGCTTATATCAGGTACATCTTGTCTTTAAACTGATGTTATTGATCTTCAGTACTTTGAGAGGTCCTTGATAGCAGATTTCCCCAGTGGAACATTCCTTTTGATATCTTGACTGCTGCTGCCATGGGTATTGACTATGGGTCCAAGTAAAATGAAATAGTTGACAACTTCATTCTTTTCTTTATTTATCATGATGTTGCTAATCGGTCCAGTAGTGAAGATTTTTGTTTTAATGATGTTGAACGGTAACTCATATTGAAGGCTATATTCTTTCATGTTCTTCACTAAGTGCTTCAAGTCATCTTTAGTTTCTGCAAACAAGATTGAGTCATCTGTATACTGCAATTTGCTAGTGAGTCTTTCTCAGATCCTGATGACATTAAGACTCCTGTATTGACCAGTTTTTGGGTTTTGACAAATGTAAATAAATGAGAACGGCAAATATATAGGACACTGCCTGGCATACAGCATGTTGCTGTTAGCTGCTAACTGTTCGGTATTATTGTTGAGGTACCTCCAGTGTATAACAATTCCCTGCCCAATGCTTATAACTGCTGTGCTCAAGCCCAGTGTGGTAGCTACTGTGTCTACCTATCTCACTGAAGGTTTCATTTTTCACAGACCCTCTGCTTTTCCAAGCATAATCTCCTTTTCCAGGGATTAGCCTCCTTCTGACCTCATGTGAGATGAGGTCATCTTTG